GCTAGGGGTGAGGTAAGGCGTCTCGCAGTCGCTTTCGCATGACACGCGCAGGCGGCGGTGGCTCTAAACTCAGTTTACGAGAGGGTTGCGGGGCTTCAGGGGTTCCAAACGACGATGGTGGTCGTGTTGCAGGACGAGGCCAAGAGGAGCCACGCGCGAGCACTAGGTGCGGATCTCCACCAGATGGGGGAGCAGGCCTCAGTCCCCAGGCAATGATCTGAGGACAGGAGGGCAGGAGGGAGAGCAGCAGACGCCGTCGCGGTCGCACGACGCGTTCGGGGCAGAGAAGCGTTGCTGGCTGCGTGCCCCAATGCAGGAGAAGGGCAGCTAGCAACTTTTGAGATGCCGGTGCAGGACATCCCAAACTTTGTCGTGGCACCCCTGCACGCCCACGACCGAAGCATCCAACACGGTCGCGCCTGCGAGTCAACACGTCTTGGTCCCCGCGCCCGGACCAGCCCTGTGTGCGCCTGCCTCCTGGTCGCGCCCATGAAACGCTGCCGTGTACCACCAGCCATTGGCATCCTGCAGCCACACGGCAAATCAGGAACCTCAAGCACTGTTCACTTGTTCACTAACGCGGTTCCGTCAATAGGGTGACCCCCGGCCTGTTCCTGTTCCAATTGCCTCTTAAAACGTTCGGTATACCCATAGCGAGCTGACACAAAGTCGCTCCAACGCGCGTTGATAGGCCCGCACGCGGCTGGAGTAATTATCAATGCCTATCCAACAGCAATTGTGCAGACGGACGCTCGGCTCGTCAATTAAAAAGGTACAAGTCCCGGGGGCTGCTGCACGGCGTAAGACCACGGGTCGCGCCTCCTGCGGGCCATCCACAACTCCGCTTTCCTGCATATCTTGCCTCTTCGTCCACCACCCTCTGGTGCCGTTGGGCAAAAGCAAGTCCAGCAATGCATTTCTCCACTGGTCACCCCCTGAATCTGCGAGCGCCAACTCATCCCGACCTTATTCCTGCCCACGCTGGCATTAACACGTCGCTGCCAGACCCGCCATCGCAACTGCCTCATGGACACGTTGTACTGCAATTCTCGCTTAGTGCTCATATCTCCGAGCCCGCAGATGCGTCACCAGAAATCTTCCGTACACAGGGAACACCCCTCCACAACCCTCCACCGCCTGAGATCTTGACATCGCGACCTTCTGATCTTGGGCACCCGCTCCGATAACACATCATGTCATTCATTTTTTGAGTAATCCAGAAATCAGCGACCGCAGTCTGAGTCAAAGGCGCACTCTATTCACGTAGCGTGACCATACCCGGGATGCGCACTTTCCTTTGTCGCTCCGGCTATACACGCTGCAGTGTTCCAATATACCAAGACCGGACCTGCATACGGAGCCACCCCTCAGTCGCCTATCGCGCTTGCCCAGCCATGCATCATCACTCACTTGCAATAGCCCCTGCTACCAGATCTCTTGTTTTTTGCAACCTAACCTTGCCGCGCCGTGTTCAAACACTCGAGGAAGGCCCGACGATAAGCCATCGTCCTAGATAGCCGAAACTCTATACTCTCCACGATCGCCCGTTGGTATTCGCGCCACCATCAACACATTTGGCACAAAATACCCACGGCTTTCACATGTCAAGTTGTGAGTGCTTCTTCGTCTAGCGGCACACCTGCGCCGCCGCAGCGCGAACCCTATACTTGGCAGTTTATAGTGCGAACAGCAAGGGGGGTTGACAGTGCCGCTCACTTCCAAATACTTGTATCAGAAATAACCACAATCATACATCTTAGCCTCTTGTCCTACGCGCCATCACTATGCGCTATCTTGAGGTCAATCTCGAAACTCTTTTACCCGCGTTATCTTCCCCACAGTGGCGATAAGAGCAACATCAAACGTACCTCTTCCGGGCTGCGAGACAAGAATACCCAGCAGGGGTTTGTCTGACGCGGATCTAGATCTGACTTCTTGTGCGATTGCCGCACTTGAACCTTCCACTACCGCCGGGACTCGTTCCGTACCGCCAATCCATAAGCCCTAGAACGGAGCTGAACCTTACGCAAGTACCGAGCAGGCTGCAAAGAAAGCATAACTTCTTTGTACGATTCCAGTGCTTCGAAGCCTAGACTCTGGCATACTACAGCCTTTGTGCGGTGTTTCAAGAAACTTTACGGTATGTCACGCCAAGCCACCGCGTCAATATGACTCCCGTCATTTACATGTGACTCTAACGCTCACACATGAAGTCAAAATGGCTCCGTCATCCCTGTGCCACTCATGATCCAATCGCATCTCGGCAATGCTCCCGATCGTCAGTCACATGTAGGATTACGCATCCTTTCTATGGAAGGTCTTGACCAGATACATCATTTTGTCAAGATAAGCTACAAGTGAAACAAGAAGCTGTCCAAGCCCCTAGTACCGCTGTGCAACCTGTTCTTCTTGTTCGCGCTGATATTGTTCAGAAGCAGCAGTCCATTCATCCATCTCGTGTCTCCGAGCCGGAACAGCTTCGCTCCGATTACCCTCCCAATAACCAGCGTCGTCCACCCAGTCGGCGCGAGGTTGCCGCCTCCCATTCCGCATATACTCCAATAACATCTCTTGTATTCTTTGCGGTACTGCAGACCCCCTCCGCCTATGCCATCTCCTTAAGAATTGCATATGTTCATCTCCAGTATCCGCACTGGTGAGTATGTCGCCTGTTGTCCTCTCTTGAAGTTTTTGTCTCTGAGCCTGTTGCAGCAAATGTAGCATTTGCCGCAAACCCGTCAGCTCACATCGGCTATCGTTCACAATCCCTATTACCCTTGCTTCGTGCGGTTCGTCCGACGTGACTATTATAGCGCGCACGTCCCAAGTGTCATCGATGTTGGGGTATGTCACTAAGCTCAGTCTACCTCCCGGCTAGGGGTTTAGAAGTGTAAGGTGATCCAGAATTGAGTTGCGGAGGTAGAGAAGTTCTGCGGCTGTGTTTCGGAACATCTCTGCTGGTGTTTGTTAAGGTAAGGCGATGCGATTTGTGCTGGAGTGAATACGTAGTAGGGCGCTGTGGTCAGTTATGTACATGTAAAGTTATACGAGTTTGCTGTAACAAGGCATGAGAGATGCAGTGAGAATGATGAAGAAGTCACTCTATAGTTCTTGATAGTAATGGTGATAGATCTCCTTTGTTCCATCTTTGCTGTGTGAGTAGGTAGGATATCGACGGATCCGCAAGAGCTGATACAACGCATCAGCATGATATCACCCAGCTTCTCTGTATGATGGCTTCCAGATTATGATTCTTTGCCTTGTTAATTGAGCTACATGTTCTTCGGTCGTTTGAGTTGGTAAGGGGAGTGTCACAACTGTGTTACCGCGACCAAGTACTTTGTCTCTCTCCGAAAGTATCATTTTATGCTCTTTGTACCAAGCAGAGCAAAACAAAGACGTCGCATGTTAGTCACATGCTTGTACACATGCCGTCTTCGCGTGTTCTCAGGCCCACATCGTCTCTAGTCGGCACGATGTCGGTCGCCCCACATGCAAAAAAACTTCAACAAAAACTCCAAAAACATACAACAGCGGGGATTCGCTAGTGGTCACCCACCTAACTACTAATCCGCCGGTACAATGCTTGTATATGGCTGAGCGGACGGGAAGCCTAATTTTCATTGTCCTATGGTCGTATGTGGAAGAATGGGTGGATGGTGGTGAATATAAAGTACCAAATTCGTCTCAGCAACACCAGACCATCGACCGGCCAACACCAAACCTGTCACCACTTCGGAGGATGTATCCATGAACTGTTTCCGCTTCCCGTACTGCGAGCCGAGTCCTTGCTATACCGCTTGGAAATTCCAGGCGACTGCGCAATGGACCCTTCGACGGCCGGCAATTGGACGTGCTTATGAAATGTACTTGTGATCCGAACGTGGAGCCTTGAATAAAACGACTGGCAAGCGGCATGCCATTGTTTCGCAGGCGCTAAGGGATGTTGGTCGGATCAAGAGTTGTGCTTTGATTATGGAGGCGCTAAATCCGAGAATGCAAGGTATGAGTGCGACTGTGGAGTCACGAAGGGACCGCATGTTCCAAAGTGTGGTGCTCGGGAGACGAGCAGGGCTGGATTCGAGATAGCACTTCAGCGTAGAGCCTACGCGAGGTTGTCGTTACGTGCGCTGCCCTGCTTCTCACATGCAGTACGTATGCCGTTTTACTCATCGCTCTTGTCTCCTTCCTCGCTTTCTTTGGCTTCTTTTACTTCTTTCGGCTTTGAGGCTTCCTCTTTACTAGTCGCATCGTCTTCGTCGTCTTCGGGCAGTGGGCCGCTAGGCGCGGGAAGGTCGCGCAGCTCCTTCCAATTTGGTAGCGGCGGGGTAACAATCGCGTCTACGATAGTAGTTGACTTAGAGTTCGCCTCAACGCTTGATTGGTTTACCATTGTGTGGTATTGATTGTTCTGTAAAGTTTGGTAGACGATGGACGGAGCAATGGCGGGCGACTGCCTGGTCTTATACTCCAAGGTCTATCCTCAGCTTACTAAGCCCGATGTACATCGCCCCTGTGGCTTGCGTGCAACGTGACATTTGTTACAGGTGATCGAGAGATGTTCGAAGAGCAGGGGTGCAAGTTGTGCGCACTTATTTTTAGATTTTACGCTGGTCGTGCCCCTGCTCTTGAAGTACCTAGGTACGACGAAGCACAAAAAGACTGAACAGACCTGCACCCTACATCTAGATAAAGATATGCGAAGTACACGACCGGACGTGAACGTGGGCTCTATGACCTTTTAGCCATATCCCCGAATGAGGCGACCTCGGGAGTGTGAGGTCATTTCGGTTTCAGATATTGGAATCGTTATCACAGGAAATAAGACTGCCTGGGTATCCTTTGAAACAAAAGCTTGAACAACCTCAGTCCTTACGTTGACTATTACACCCCCCTTTCAACTCTTAATCCTATCTGCCAATGAAGTATACGAAAGAGAAGTTGCTGAGAACTACTCTGGCGATTCTAGAAGTTTCTTTCGAAACCAACACCATTCTCAACTACAACTCATTTGGCGGACGTTCGGCTTTCTTTGTGAGAACTGCTGCGCCATTCGTCCATTTATACAGATTCAGGTACCAGGCTGAATTGAAATTAGCATTTGCTCTTGGAAAATGAATTGAGAGAGTGATGCATACCAGATGCTAAGAACGCAAAGGAATCGGCATTGTGTTGGCGGTTGTTTACTGAAGGAGGACTGCCACCTGTAGCGCCGGGTGCATGACCAGCGATCTTCTCGTATCCATACACTTCTCCAATGTTGCCGTCTGGAAGTGCTGCTGGACCTATTGGACTTGTCAGTTCTCTATATCGAGATGTAATTGGATGCGAAGTCTTACATTGCTGCAGATTTGCGACGTGCATCAACTCGTGTATGATCATATAGCTCAGATACTGTCCCACTGTTTCAATGCCCTGAGAGTATTTCCTCAAGTCTCCAGATTTTCGCCAATCGCCGATCTCGCCTTTGACATCTTGGGTTGATGTAATTGCGCCTCCATCCCAATTCGAGCAGAGAACCACGGCGTTGCCACCAGGCTGTGATCCATCCTTAAACCCGAAAGGGTAAACAAAGGCACGAAGATTGCCCTTGCAAGGTCCAGTAGCACCAGGGACGGGAGCTTTGGAACGAACCTGCGCTTGCCTGTTATCGCCGTTATCGAAATACACCCCCCGAAAGCCATCTTCCGGGTATGTGAGATGATCGTCCGAGCAAAATATCAGGACTCCTCGATCGGGGGGTTGCCTTTGTCCTGTAGTATCTATAGCACCCTGAAACTGTGCTACATGGCGAAGTCAGAAATTGTACCAGATCACCTTGCGCACCTGGGCAAGGCTGGAGAATTAGGAAACTTACTATGTGCGAGATTCAGAGTGGCTTGATCGTGCTCATCTGGCGCTCCAAGAAGGTCTTGTAGAAGTGTCGCATCGGTTTGTATGTATTCTGTGTTTTGTGCCCGCTTTGAAGCGTAATCCAGGACTTCGAACACGATTTTCATGGTGTTCTCCACTCGAGTTGCTGTGTCACCACTACAACTGGAATGCAGGGCCCATGCCGAAACATGTACTGCCTGGATGCTCATAAAGAGAAAATAGAATAGTTCAGACCGCATGATGACCTCGGGAGAGAAGATTGAGGATAGAATGAACGCCAAAGAACTAAAGGATATGCTGAACGGGGAGTTGTAGAGCAACTGCTACAAAATGTGTTCTCGAATCTAGAGGGAGAGAGGAATGCTATGATATATGAAGGCTATTGCATGCTAAATTTGTTCGCAGGCATCTGCCCAGGTGTGGAGATGTTGCGTAAGAAGAGCCCCAAAGCTAGCCCGCACGGCTGAGAAACCGGGAAACAATCTTAATCCAACCCTGTAGATCTTCTCCTGGAATACTTGAGACTTGGAGGTAAGATTATGGGGGCAGAACGTTTGAGATTCCTCCAATGAGGTATCATCTCTCCCATGAAAGGCATTCCCGAGTTACGCCCCCCGTGGCTGCGCTCAGCTGACGTTACCTTACCGCCCCTAACTCCATTCTAATCGCATAGTCAAATTATCCAGGACCCATTTGTACCTAGGTATCAGCAGCCCCGGGGCCAAAATCAAACCCCCGGGGGCCGCACTCAGCTTACGTTGACTTACGGCCCCCAAACCTGTTTCAATCGCAATGTAAAATTAGGCAAGACCCCAATGTGCTTCTAGTCAGCCTTGGAAGTTTGGAAACTGGAATACCTAGGTATAAACTTTCCCGATGCTCCTCGCTTTGTTGAGCTGCTATAAGCAACCACTGAGATACATTCGGTGAGGATCACACAAAAGCAATAAAGAAGAGAAGCTATTTGTATTCTATCAAGGTATGTACTGGCGATTACAAGCAGAGAAAGCCTGGAGACCGCAACGAAACTCATTGATGCCCAGAAATCTACCGAACGGTCGTTGCACGGAAACTACATTGCCAACGCTGTCTCCATCATGTGGACATTCCGAACCATATTGATATTTGCTTTCCTTGTTTCAAATATCTCCGTCGTCAACGGAGCAGATTGCGATTCGAACCAACCCCGCAAAGAAGGGGACCCCTCAGGCGCAGACATCGCCAGCTTTCTTTCTGGTGCCCTGAACGAACCCAATGGCATCATCTGTGCTGGTGGATTCCCACCATTAAACGATACACTGAACAGCACACTGCCCAACAGCAAAATCGCTACCTACAATGCACGCTCGATGCTTTTCAATGTCACACGAGAAGACGCCACCAAGCCCATTGAGAATTGCAACGAAGCTTTCTCTAACATCATCGAACAATGCATTCAGAACGACAACTATTGGGGCGGGGTTTGGGCGCTCAATGGCTTCATCTACACCATCGCCGACATAGTCTTTCCAGAGAATGGCATTCAAGGCCCAGAAGACCCTGGGTCTCCTACCCCATCACCATCGTCAACCCCATCACCATCGTCACCCCCATCACCATCGTCAACCCCATCACCATCGTCACCCCCATCACCATCGTCAACCCCATCACCTTCGTCAGCCCCATCACCGTCTTCAACCCTATCACCATCTTCAACATCGACTGTGCTCACAGAGACGGATTCGGCTGGAAGTGTAATGACTTTAACTGTGAGTCAACCGCAGACAGCAGTAATTTGATTCGTCTTCTGAGTAAACAATGCAGTTCGTTCCCTCCACTGTTCCCGAATATACGACCTTAACAACGGCCTCGACGGCCTCGACGACCACGACGGATTCTAGTGGCGCGATCATTGTCATTCCTCTAATCATCGGGCCTGGTGGAGTTATATGGGGTAAGCATGGGTGAAATACTTGTCTCGAGCGAAGCTGACAATGAACGCAGTCCCTAACGGGGGTGTTCCTCTGCCACCGGGAGCGACACCTCCTTCAACACCACCTGGAAGCGATAGTGACCCTGAACAGCCAAGTGGAAACCCTGACGTTACTACAACTGATGGCCCGACTACGACTGATGGTCCGACTACGACTGATGGTCCGACTACGACGTTGTCATCTCTGTCTTCGTCTTCATCAGCCGCTCCTGTGCCTACCGTGACCCTCGTTGGAGACCCTCCACTACCTGACTACCAGCAGATCATGGGCATCGAACCTTCCGGCCCACTCCCAGACGACCCTCCCGATACCAAGTCGGAATCCTCTCCCGATACCACCTCGGCCTCTTCCGAGGCCTCTACCGCGCCCTCTCCCACTGCCCCTACCTCGTCCTCTCCCATTGCCTCTACCATGACCCCACCCTTTCCCACACCAACACCGTCGAATACCACTCAAGCCCCCGTCGATCCTAACGTCGGAACGCCAGAGTGCTTCCCAAGCCATGGGACTACCGATGCGGATCGAATCGTCTCCATAGTGATGACTGATGAGCGAATCAGCACATTCTGTGCCGGCACTGAACCAAATTGGACGCAAGTCGGGGCCGACTCAGGGGGAAATGGCGATCCCAAAAACAACAATCGTTACGACGCAACGTTCACCGTGGACGCGAACGCCCCAGAGCTTTGCAACCTGTTGTATACGGAGAAAGGGAAGTCTCAGCCAGATGTTCAGAATGCTTGTACCAACCCATTCAAAGCGATCAGGGAGGCATGTCCGTTCAACGGCGGACAGGTGAAAGCAGATTGTGGAGTGTGGACGCTACAAAGTTGTCCGTCCGGTGGGAGCTGTAAGGTCGGAGAGCCGGGCCAGCACTGTCAGATGAATCCAGGGAGCGCGGTGTGCTTGTGATTGATGTAATATTCGTACACGAGGCCTTTGTAAAGAATTATTTCTGATGGAGAAGCTGGTTAGAAGTAGTGGGTCGTCAGTCATCCTAAGTTAGATAGTTCGCTGAGTAGTCAACGCTCATCCACTTGTAACGGAACAACCGCGGTGATAAAACGTTTCACAGGCACCCTGAACTCAATACAATGGAATCGTTTTCTCTCACTGAAAGACGCTTTCCTGCAGGATGACACACCAAGCTTTCCGACATTGTGAAGTCACTCCGCGGTCCAATGCGCTTTGTCCACCGTGTGCTAATTCAAGGTTAGTCTATATAGCAATTGCACGGAACACATTTCCAAGACTGTTTCAGCCAGTCACTCCAAAGAGAGCGACTTTCGTTCTAATCTTCACCGATTGACCCGTAGAAGAGCCAAGCTTCCAAACGCCGTCAAGCCTCGAGTCATCACCCTACAATATTCAATCCAGACTCTGCTTCGATCACCATCTTCACAATGAAGAGATTTACACTCCTCGTTATCTTGACTTCGGCCACCGTCACTATGGCCCGCTGCTTTCCTGACAGCGGCCAGAAATGGGCCACCGAAGCCTGCAAAGATGCGGCTAGGGGTGCTATCAGGGACCTTTGTAACAGCGGTAGGTTCGCAGGCTATTTCAATCAGGGCGAAACCAAGTACGCTTGCGCCGAATGCCCGTACGCGGGCATCAAGTTTGATTTCGCTGTGGGTTGGCAAGGCCGAGGCGGCTTGACCCTCAACAAAGAAGACTGCATTAAGCGACTGACCGACGAGGTTAATGGCTGCCAAGCCGGCGGCGAGAAAGTTACTGCTGACTGGCTTTTCCGGTAAGTTTTTGTATACACACAGTTAGCTTTGCACGGACGAAAACAGCTAACAACGTCTAATTGTAGGTCTGACCCTAACACGGGCCGGTGCTGAGTATATCAGCTCGTGGAATCAAAAGCGACCGAGAAGTTACAATTAGCATGAAACGATGGATGGAGGAACGCTTGTGATCGTATGTGAAAGAGTAGGTAGTTGGTGCTAAATACAACGTACCAAACCCTTCGCTGCAACAGCAAACCACTACTGAACACTGAACCGGGTATGACGACCTGTCACCAATGATTTATGGAGTGATGCGTGATACGACAACGGAGTTGATATTGGTGCTTATAGTACCATATGAGGTTACTGCATTCGACCCGAAGCCGGCCACTGCAGATTCGAAGCTGAGAAAGAAGGAAATGCGAAAGGCGGGATAAGCATATTGCCCGCCCCCATCTCAGCATCACCGAACATCTCCTCGATATCATTCTACATCATCGTTAGCAATGCCAGTGTGTGGTGGGGCGAGAGTGTTACTTACCCAATCGATGTCGTTGATAGCGTCCATCGCAGTGTTACCGTTAGAACCAGCTGCTATTCCACCCTCGTACATGGTAGAAATCGGACTACTATTACTACTTTCACCTTGCTGGGCGGTGGTTGGCATCAGATTGCCTGGACTATTCCCAGGAATGACGTCGTAGGTTGAAACAGATACTGTCGCTGGCATGTCGATGGTACCCCAGTCTACAGTCGGCATAGCGCCAGGAAACGTGTTGAGCCTGGGTACTAACGTGGACTGAACCTGAGAAGTCTGTGGTGGTGACGGCGAAGGCGGTACGAGATTTTGCAGGTTTGCATTGCTGTTCAGTAAATGCGAAAGTGGACCAGAAGTACTCGGCTCCGACTGCGTGCTTCCATCACGTCCGCCCTCCTCCCTCTGTACGCGTTGTCGAGGCTCCAGGCCTGCTTGCGGCATGTCGGCAGGAACACGAACTCTTTTCAAGGCAGAGTAGGCTTTCGTCTTGCCGACGAGCTCTTCCAAAACCATCCTCGTTTTCTCAACGTTGGATAGTCCAGTGGGTAGATTGAACGAGTAGTCCAGACATTTCCATATTCGCTGTTCCATCGCTGGTTCCGGGTTTGCTACGTAAATCTCGCTTACGAGAAGAAGCGCGCAGTGGTGTTGATGGAGAGCACCGACGATCCATGCCCAGGAAGATAGCACTGGATGCTGCTCAATTGCCATGCCATGTTCCAGAATCATGGTCGCTGCGCTTAGTGTCAATTGTCGTAATCGCTCCGGCATTCGGCTGCGAGCAGAAGTAATGTACTTCTGTAAGATGGAAATATACAAGCGGTTCGAGACGATGCCGTATAGCTCTGACGCTAGAACGTGTAATAGCTCTGTCTTGGACAGCATGGGAAGGTACTTCTTTTCCATAGCCGCTTGGAATGACTGAACTCGCGACAGAAGCGAAGTGATTGTGACTTCGCTCTTTCCGTCAGCGCGTTTGCGATCCAATTTTGGACGCTCGGTCCAAAGGAAGCGATGCATCTCGTATCCTTCAAATCGCATGAGGCTAATAGTCATGTCGGTGAAGTGATTGCGATCTTTACTGACGTCTATTTCGCCCTCGCCACGCTCAGCACGGTCGAGATCAACATCGTCAATGTTCAGCGGAAAGCGAGTGTCATAGTCGTCGAGCCGAATTTGCGGACGTGGGCCAACAGCTTCGCAAGTACGTAGATCCAGAAAACATATTTGGTACCATATGAGACGCCGTACTTGGATCTCAACCGGCGAGGAGCTGTAGGCCGTCGGGTCCCGGTGCAATCCCATACATTCAGCCAAGCGAATAAGTGACCCAGTTAGTGCAGAGTGGGCGCGAGATACTTCGTTGCGACATAGCGGAATCTATAAGAGGTTATTAGCAAATTCTGGTGAAGTCAACGGTCACGACTAGTGTAAATTGTCGTGTACCCGCTTTAAGACGGTAGACTTACGAGGTACATCACGAAAGCCTGAATTGTCTCCAATTTTGTAGTGCGTAGGAAGTTGGCTCGCGCAAGCGCTGCCTCCGTCCCTTCCCTGAAGCTGTCTATCATGGTTTGCTTTTCAACACCAAACTCGACTTGCACCATGTCGTCGGTCATTGAAACGACTGAGTTTAGCAAAGCTGCAAAGAGCACTGCTTGGAAAGATGCGCGAGGCTCCATGCCCATGTTGACTCTGATCCAGAAGTTCTGATACTGTCGCTCGAATGAAGGGCGGTGTACGGTCCGGGCTATGGTATGCACCGCAACCCAATACTGAGAGAGTAGTTTATCAACCACGACCCGAGCAGGCAGATGTGACTCAAGAGCGGTTTGGTCGATTCCGGACGCCAACACAAAGTTTGAAGATGGAGCGACATAGTCTTGTGTGGGTGCTAACCAATTTACGGCATCTTCTTCGATGGCAGACAGAGACGGAGTTTCGCGATCTGGTAACTCTTTAAGTGTTGTAGCAAGCTACGAGGAAGGTGTCAGTTTGATCCGACATGCTAAACACGTGGAGACTCACCTCATCCGACAATCTTGGACGAACAAGTCCCCCAATGCGTTCTGTGATGCGAACTCTGCCCATTCGAAAGCCCAGATCGACCATGTCGTCGTTGACATCGTCGTCAGGCTCATAGTAAGCTGCATCTTCAGTAACGAGATGTGTCGGCCGGAGATCCTTGGTGTCCTCGTCGTCTTCTTGGTCGCTTGACTGTTCCTGACCAGGGAGTGTACCAACCCTAGAAAAGCTTGCAGTATTTCTCAAGTTTATTTCTGTCTTGCGCGCAACATCTTCTTCAAGGCTCCTCTCCAAACGACCCATCTGCTCTTTAACCTCGGCTAGCTTTGCCTGAGCATTTGCATCAAGTCCGGAGGCAATGAAAACGCATTGTCGCGTGTTTTTGGTGCAATGTGTACATGGGTGGCCTTTGTCGCACTTCAACTTCCGCCGTCGACATTCGAGACAAGAAGTGATGAGTCGATTCCTGCGGCGAACGCGCGGTGCAGGCTGCTGTGTCCTCTTATCGACTTCGACTGGTGGGGAAGCTTGAGATCCGTTCTGGTTCGACAACGATGGGCTCGACATGACTGAGGTGCTGTTGAAGCTTGGTAGTGGAAAGCCGGAATCCTTACGGACGTAAGATCCGATGCAATGTCTCTGCGCAGCGATTAGCGACACGGTACACGAAGGATCGAACAGGGCATGCAATACGTTACTCACTTCCCCGGTCTCCACTTTATTGGGAACTTATGGATGTTGGATTCCGGAATGGTACCTACGTAGGTAGGTATGCTTCGGAAGTTTAGGATGGTTCAGGCGTAAGACCATGCCACGTAGATACCAAGCTACGTTTCGTGCCAAGTTTCGTCAGAGGACGTGCACATGAAGTTGATGCCCTGCTTGCATGAACTCAAGACGTCTCCACGACTTTTGGAAGGAAACGTGGTGGCTGCTTGCTTACGACCTAGCAGGACTGCCCAGGTGCCCGCCCCGCTTTAGCGCTTCCGTGATACATCGACTACGGCGGATCAGTCTTTGTCAGCGTCATTACCCTAGTCATTATCTGGCCAAACCTATCTTACATGACTGTAGAGAAGAAGCAGAGGCTTTTGCGTGACAATTCGTTCCTTGGAGTCTAGCAAGTACTAATATCGGCACATTGCGACACATTCAGTTGCCTCCGGCCTGAACACAACGCCTGATTGTGACATGTGGCTTGGTAGCATGGCTTCATACTTGGCGAGCGACCGCTCACTAAATCAGGGGGAGACTGACCCTTTTCCAAATGCTGAAGATAGCCTCGACCGTAGCTGCGACGTTCCTGGATGCAGCCCTGGGGTGAAGCTAATGCAGTCGACTGGATCCGTCTCGCTACCTATGTACGTATCAAGACTACTCAGACGCGAGAATCATCGCAGTATCAGTACATGATAGGCCTGGAACAAAGCACGGAGCGATGCGATGCCTGGTGGGTTATTCCGGGTTCTCTTCAGGCGTGGAAGATATGTAGGACACGGCTCTGACGCGAACGCGTAACGCCTGGTCACGCTTTTAGTTGAACGCGACCCGCGACAGCCTAGGACAAAGATCCACTGATCGTTGCCGCCGCGATCTATCTAACGCACGTCCTCACCGCTTCCATAACAAACACCTTTTCCTGCCGCCTTTTGCAGAGTCCCCACCACGCACGCCTCTCAATTCTCAATCCCACCACATTGTCCATACCGACCGTCTCACCTGCCTTTATTCTCGCTTCATCACTTCCGCTTTCAAAATGTCTGTCGTGTCGCTTCTCGGTGTGGAGGTCAAGAACAACCCCGCGCGCTTCGACGAGCCGTACGAGTTTGAGATCACCTTTGAGTGTCTCGAGCAACTACAGAAGGGTAGGTGCGCCCAGCATCAAGAAGAATCACGGTGACTAACGGCAATTTAGATCTCGAGTGGAAATTGACCTACGTTGGCTCTGCGACCTCGTAAGTCCACTGCCGCTCCTGCTCGTGAACACGTCTGATCAATGCCCCGCAGAAACGAGTATGATCAGGAACTCGACTCTGTCCTCGTCGGCCCCCTCCCCATTGGCGTCAACAAGTTCCAGTTCAAGGCCGATGCTCCCAACCTCACGCGCATCCCCAACAGCGAGATCATCGGTGTCACAGTCATCCTGCTCAGCTGCAGCTACGATGAGCGCGAGTTTGTGCGTGTCGGATACTATGTGAACAACGAGTACACAGACGAGGCGCTGGCACTGGACCCGCCTACCAAGCCCGTCATTGAGAAGGTGCAGAGGCAGATCCTGGCAGAGAAGCCGCGAGTCACGCGCTTCGCCATCAAGTGGTACGCAGCTACAGACACTGGTGCTATTCTGGCAGTGCTAACCCATTCAGGGACTCCGACGAGTCTGCACCCCCCGAGTTCCCCCCTGAGCAGCCAGAGGCCGACCTCACCGCCGACGGCGACCAATACGGTATCGAGGAAGAGGAAGAGGAGGAGGCCGAAGAGGCTGAGGATGAAGGTGTCGCCGCCGAGGGTGAGGATGCCGCCATGGCAGGTGCCGAGGACACTGCAGGCCCCGCCGCTGACGACGACGCTGAGTCCGAGGCCGGCAGCGAGGAGATCGATATCGAGGACTCAGAAGACGATGAGGAGGAAGAGGGTGAGGAGGGCGGAGATGACGACATGGAGATGGACGAGGGTGAGGCGGGCGCTGCCAGCGGTGACAAGCCAGCCCAACAACAGCCAGGAGGTGCCCCGCAGCAGCAACAGCCTGGTGCGGATGTCATGGTTCACTAGATGTCGCGCCGGGTTCCTTGCTTGCATACTTCGCCATCGCGGGTGCTTCGAGCAGGAAGCGATATTTACCGCCTTGTGGTTTTCTTCTAGTCATGTAGACAGCAGTCGCCTCGCCACTGTGTCCACGCGATCTAGTCTTCACCTTGTCACGAAGAAGTTGAATTACGAATGATCCAGCAAGAGAACACTTCATACTACGTGACAAACCGCGTGCCGTGATAGTAGATATGTGGTTGAAGCTCAGATCGTCCGCAAGAATGCACGCAGCCGCGCAAGCCATTCTTGGGCCCGAGTACGTGGCCTCTTGATATTCATCTCCGCAACGGTCTTCTTACCCTGCCGTTAGATCCGGGATGTGGCCTGCGCGGATCCGTCTACACAGGCTGAAAGTGGTGGTTCGAGTAACGCCAACGTCACTGCACAGCCTCTGAGTGAATGGCGCAGTGGTGGGAACTCGGAGGCTGATTTCCGAGACGTGTGTCGAAACATTTATAGTAACTGTGAAGGACAGGAAGGGGGGCGACATCGTTAATGATGCCGGTCACCACCTTCGGGATCCTTCGCTCCTGTTCTTGTGACCCTTAGAGTGCACATGTGTGCAAGCCTGAGGAACTCACTCGGCCATTGACGTCAAACAACGCACCTTTCACACACGGCAGAACCCCAGGACTACACGACTCTCCAGCGCCTGTTTCAGCAAACGGACTCGTCGGTCGTTTCGAATCTCTCCCTAGACTTATTCTTTCCCCCCTCAAACCTGCACCGCCGCCACTCTCGACTGCCTATACAACCGCGCCCGGCGAGATAGTTGCACCATATACGACTACGAAGATCGCCCGCTCTCGTATACGATATCCGACAGATCGCAAGGGTTGCCGGCGAGTCTGCACTTAGCGACGGCGACTCAGGGCCACACCCCACCAAGTTAAGGTACGTTCATTTCCTGCTCCACGCGTCATTCGGCATGCATGGCGGCCTCGATGAGGGCTGCGCGGAACGGTCCCTGGGGCCAGGCGGCAACGTGCATCGAAGACGGCTTCCCTTGGACAACGGCTGACGCTTATATCTGAGCACCGCAGCGCATACCCTATCGCACCACGACAATGAGCTACCACCAAGGCCAGCCCAAGCTGGGGGCTACTTTTGTGCCAGGAGGTTTCGATGACTACTATATGCCGGCTCCTTCGCCTGAAGTCATCTCGCCTGCGCCTCAGCGGTTCGTTCTAGCCCATCGCCATGTGCATGCCCTGAAATTGCGGCTGACGTAGATTTGGCGGTAGGATCATGCCCGAAGTGCCCGAGAACATGCAGGAAAACATCGCGCATCTGGAGTTGGAAGCCAACGGCCCTCGTGGTACCAACGGCGCCATGTCCCCCATGCAGAGCTACAATCAGTCACAGCACCCCAACTTCCCGCCGCGGCAGGCGAGCTACCAGAACGAGCTGCCCGTCCACAACGACCAATGGCCCGCCCGGCAAGCGAGCATCTCCTCTGCCTTCCGCCAGCCCCCCAACGTGCAGCCGCAGTCGGTCCAGCAGCAGCCGTCGCACGACTACAACCAGTTTGCCCAGAGCCACGATTCGCCCAACTTCTCGCCCTTCCCCAAGCTCCCCAACAAGCCCCCGAACGTGCCGCCGTCCGACGATGAGAAAGAGGCCGTCTTGGAGAATGCGCGCCTGCCCGTGCTCAACTCCAACGACCCGGAGATGCAGCTGGCATGGGCCCAAGACGCGCTGCAGTACGTAGACGCCGCGCAGCTGCACGAGCAGCGCATTTCAGAGATCCAGGGCGCGAGGCCGGCAACGCCACAGGTCGAGCACCAGCTGCGGCTCGATGCCATGAACGTAGTCACCTTCCTGGCCGACCAGGGCCATCCGAAAGCGACCTTCATGCGGGGCATGTGGCTGGAGTTTGGCAAGTTTGGCATGCGCGCAGACAAGAAGGAGGCCTTCAGGTGCTACTCCCGCGCGGCTGCAAAGGGATATGCGAGGGCCGAATACCGGATGGGCATGCAGTTCGAGCAGTCGAACGACCCGATCAAGGCCCTGCAGAACTACAAAGCCGGTGCGGAACAAGGTGACTCAGCCTCCAACTACCGCCTTGGTATGATGACGCTACTCGGACAGCACGGACAACCACAAGACTTTGCGAGGGGAGTGCATCTCATCAAGCAGGCTGCGGCTACTGCGGATGAGAATGCGCCGCAGGGTGCCTACGTGCTGGGCATGCTGCAGGCGCGAGAGCTGCCTCAGATCAACGTACCGGAAATGTTTCTGCCCTACGACGAGAAGGGTGCAAGACAGAATATCGAGAAAGCTGCCTACCTCGGATTCGCAAAGGCTCAGCTGAAAATGGGTTCTGCGTACGAGCTTTGCAGTCTAGGCTGTGAGTTCAATCCCACCCTTTCGCTGCACTACAACGCGCTCGCATCTAGGCAGGGTGAGCCCGAGGCAGATATGGCTATCAGCAAGTGGTTCCTCTGCGGGCACGAGGGAGAGTTCAACAAGAACGAAGAGTTGGCATACCAATACGCGCAACGTGCCGCCGCAGCCGGCCTTGCGACTGCCGAGTTCGCCATGGGGTACTTCCATGAGATCGGCATGAACACACCTGTCAACCTGGACAAAGCGCTCGAATGGTACGACAAGGCCGAGAAGAACGGCAACAAGGACGCGTCTGCGCGTATAGAGAGCATCTCCAAGTTGTCGCGGACACTATCGAAGAAGGACCACGAGAACGTTGCCATCAACATGATCAAGTCAAAGCACGGCTCCATGCGAGGCCAGCGGCCGGCGAGACTGCAGAAATCACACGCTCCCATGCCGTCGATCAACGACATCAGCCCTTCCGATTACGGTGACAGCTACCCAGGTGGCCGACTGCCAGCCAGGGGCGATAGTACAACGCCATACCCCATGTCTGACCAGCCTCCAATGATCTCAAACGCGCCCATGTCGGCACCCTATGATCGTCCTTCCACAGCAGCGCCATATCCTATGGACAATGGGCCTCCTCGGCTGAGCCCCCAACGGCCAGGTATCGCGGGCGGATTTGCGCCAGAGGTGAGAGCTTCTAGTACTCGACCTGTATCCTCAGCGTTCAACATCAATCCCAACGTTTACCCTCCAAACGATCCCTACGGCCGCGGCAGCCCGCGCCCAAACCCCGGGCCAGGTTATGATATGGGGCCGATGCCAATGCGCCCTCACACGAGCGTAGATAATATGGGCCCAGGGCGTGGCGGCCGTCCTTCAAGTGGTGGCCGTGGCACGCCGCTGCCACAAGGAGGACCTGCAAGCTACAGACAACCTGGAGGGCCGAGTGCTCAGCGCCCGGAAGCGCAACCCCGTCCATCAACCACGCAGCCTCCAGATATCGGATACAGTGCACCAGATGGACGTAACAAGCTGCAGAAACAACAGGGGGCGCCACTTAAGAAAGCGCCCACTCTGCCCGATATCGGGTACGTTGCACCTCTCGAGCCTCGCCAGCATACCCGTCCATCTACCGTTCAACCGGGCCAGGAGAGTAGAACCTCTTCGAGAATGGACAGGCCCTCGACTACTACGCCAGGGCAAGGATCTCGGCCCTCCTCACGGCCGGGCTCATCAGGACGTCCCAGCGGATACGACAACATGCCCAAGCCTAACAGGGTGCAGACGTTGCAACAGCAGCAGCCACCTCCGAAGCCTGCGCCAGTACAAGCGAACAAGCCGGCCACACCTACACCGCCTAAGCCAGCCTCATCGGCTTCCTCGGCGGCAGGCAAGGGTCCCAAGACATTTGATGAAATGGGCATAGGGCAGGCACCCAAGGAGGGCGATTGTGTAAGTTGCACGTCCGGTATGCACCAAGAATTGTTTGCTAACCTCCAACAGGTCGTCATGTAGATTTTGGAGCGCTGGAACAGCGCGATTTGGATGACGTTTTGCATAGCGGAGTTTTGATCTTGCATAGTAGTGAGCGGTCGCAGTACTAACACTCGATATACCCATCTTCGGAACACGTGAAGCGGCATTGGCGACTTTTAAGTATAGACGAAATACAATCAGACAAGACAGAACTGTGATCAATGGCATGCAGGGAGATCAAATCGTGATGTGCATGGATGCGAGCTAACGTGCACCGTAGTCGTATCTTCACTGCTGCCAACAGGCCGTGGTAGTGCAATCCAACTGTACAACTTCTTTTGAGTCTTACGTGCGAATAGTATGGGCTGTCGCAAGACCATGGCGATGCGAAATCGCCTGGAATTACTCGGGACGAGAGTAGCTACCGGGGCAGTTCCTAGATCGCGCGCGTCGACGCGGTGTCACGTGCCAGCATAAATCCGCAGTGAAGTCAAGGTCTTCTCAGGCTATGACCAAATAGCGATCCAAAAGCGTCGCTTGTGTCTTCTCTCACCTCGCTTCGGTCTTCAGTCCGAGTGATTTCTTCCCGTAAATATTAATGAGAGCCGTTGGCCGTGATAGTACCGTGGGGGTGAATTCGCTGGACAATGCACGGACGCTAGCGCGGTTCCTGAACGGCTCAGCGGGGAAGGAGCGCGTTCAGATTACCTCACTCGCAAACTCCACCTGCAACCGTACCTCCAGCCCACCCGCGCCTGTCGATCCTCTGGCTTGTGGTCGCAGTCATGTCTGGGAAGCGCTCTCGCGCTCTCACAGATGGGCTTGATCCCAACGGCTCAGGCAGTAACAGTCGCGTATGTCAAACGCCCCGAAGCCAACGGCACGCATGCTAACATCGCCCAGAACAAGCGACCCCGTCAATCTGAATCCGAGGGCAGCGATCAATCTTCGGACGACGAGCGTTCCAATGTAGCCAGCGGCAGCGATTCCTCCGATGACGAAGGCGAACACATGCGCGAACGAGAAATACGGGCGACACAGCAGGTGCAGAAAGAGCATCGGGCAACTGCAGACAGGGAAAACGTCGCGACGGATTCTGGGATTATCGAAGAAATCCAGTGCATCAACTTCATGTGTCATGAACATTTGACAGTAACCCTGGGGCCTCTGATCAACTTCATCATCGGACACAACGGCAGCGGAAAGAGCGCCGTGCTCACCGCTCTCACAATCTGCCTGGGCGGAAAGGCTACCGCTACAAATCGTGCCCAGAATCTCAAAAGTCTCATCAAGGAGGGCAAAGACCATGCCTCCGTGACTGTCAAGATCAAGAACCAAGGGCCACTCGCTTACAAGCCCGCGCAGTACGGCGATTCGATCATCGTGGAACGACACTTCAACAGAGCCGGAACTTCAGGCTTCAAGCTCAAGAACGTGAACAACAAACTCGTCACCAACAAGAAAGCGGAGCTCGAAGACATCCTGGACGCCTTCTCCATGCAGATTGACAATCCGATGAACGTCCTGACACAGGACATGGCAAGACAGTTTCTGAACCACTCCACGCCAAAAGACAAGTACAAGTTCTTCCTCCAGGGCACGCAGTTGGAGAACTTGAACAGAGACTATCAGCAGATCGAACAATCTTTGGAAGTAATGAACACGAAAGCCGAGGTTAAAGAAACCGACCTCACGACTCTACGGCGCGAAATGGAAGCACTGGAGAAGAAAGCCAGAAAAGCGGCAAGTTTACAGACGATGCGAGACAAGGAAACGGAATTTGCTCGACAAGCAGCATGGGCCACGGTTCGTGAACACGAAGATGATGTTGCGCACAATGAGAACGGACTCGCAGACACCGAGAGAATCATACAAACCCTACAACAACGTGTAGAAGATGCAGGAAAGGCCTACGAGCTGGCGGACCAGGCCCACGAAGCCGCCAAACAAAACGTCACCGACCTCACGACTGAGATGGAGCCAGCAGAGCAAAAGGCACTTGATGCCAAAGCAAAGTTCCAGGAAGTCAAGGGAAAACTCGTGCTGCTACTAGCTGATGAAAGGATTGCACAAGGTGAAGTGACGGAAAGGCAAAAGAATGTGCAGAAGTTGGAAGCAGAGATTGCACAGTACCGACAACGGCAGGCTGAAGCAGACAACGGCCGCCACGCAGAAAAGATTCGAGAGCGTGATGACGCCAAGGTTAAGTGCGAGACTGCCAGGTTAGCATTCGAGGGCCATGATACTGGACTTGCAGCGCTACAAGACCAACTGGCGACTGCTCAAAAGGAGCAGGACGAAGCAGATCGAAAAGTAGACGATGCTCAAAAAGAAGTTGCACGTATACGGGCATCCATCGAAAGAATGCAATCAGGTCGGAGTAATTGGGACGATGGGTATCAAAATCGCCAAAGGCTGAGCGAGCTACTCCGTGCGATCGAGTCCGAGCACAGATTCCGGGAGAAACCAGTTGGGCCCATGGGCCGTCATGTGAAGCTGCGCTTGCAGGATTGGGGCGGAATTCTTGAAAAGCAATTCGGTCAAACGCTGAACGCCTTCGTCGTCACTAGCAAGCCAGACCAGAATATACTATCAGCCCTTATGAAAAGGGTTGGCTGGTGCGCGCCATCTTCTGCTTAATCAACAACGCTAACGATGTCAGGTCTGCCCCGATATACATTGGCAAGAGGACGCCTATAAACACCGATGGCAATGAGCCCGCAGAAAATCTTACCACATGGATGAAGGCACTTAGGGTAGACATGCCTTATACATCCACAACATAGAAGTATTTCACTAACTATCGCGTAGTTTGACGACGATCTTGTTCGAAATCAGCTCATCATCAACCAGTCAATCGAGCAAACCGTGCTCATTGAGAACATGGACGAAGGCGCTCAGTTTATGTTCAACCGCGGGCCGCCTACTACGAACGTCAAGATGTGTTTTACCTTTGCGGATGGCGACACAACCAAAGGTCGTGTCTTTGTCTACAACAGTGGCGGAGGTATCAACAACAGTCCGATCGCACCGTATACCGGAGCTCTGCGTATGCAGGTGGACAAAGATACTCGAATCCAGTGCGTATGGCGCTTCAATATCAGATCATTCGCTAATAGCATACACAGACTAGAAGAGAAGAATCTGGCCCAGGCCAGGGGACAACTTGAGGCCTTGCAGCAGCAGTCCAGTGAGCGGCATGATGAGGTCAACAAATGCAAGGCTCAGTTACAGGACCACGAACGCCAGAAGAAACATCTGAAACTTGCTTCCCAAACTGCTTCCAGGGAATTGGAAAGACTTGAAATCGAACTGGAGAAAGCAACTCCCGACGAAGCAGCTATCCAAGTGCGGGAGTCAGAGCTTGCGGAAGCTCAACAAGAGTTGAAGAACTCCATGAATTTCTACGAAGATGTGGTGACGCGAAAGATCGAACTCAACGACGAGAATAGGGCGAACAAGCAGGAGATGGAAGCTGCACAGAAGCTTGTTGCTGATCTCCGGTCCCGGCTCGACAAGGCGCACGTGACAGTTCGAACTCTTCAGGGCACACGACAAGAAGAGCTCCAGGAAAAGAACAAAGCCATCGAGCAGGTTGCCGAAGCTGAAAATGTAAAGAAAAACTGGCAAGAAGAGCTCTTGGAGTCGCAACAAAGCCTCGCCGAAGTAACTGAGGGTGCGACGAGCATATGTGAGCGTGTGTTCGTCCCCCCCAATTCAACTTCCGAAGACCTACAACGGAGGATGGTTCAAATGGCGAAAACCAGGGAAGAGGCTGAACGGGAGCTCGGTGGATCACAGCTGGACCTTACGCGGGCGGCAACTGAAGCGAAGCAGAAGCACCACGATGCAATGAAGGAGTTTGAAGACATAAGAGGTTTACGTAACGTAAGTTTGATCACACGTATCATAATGACTCTTGCTGATCCGGCGCAGCAACTCATCACTACGCTTGACAACCGGCGCAACCGGTGGAAGCAATTCAGATCTGGCATCTCTGTTCGGGCGCGAGTCACGTTCAACTATCTGTTGAGTGAGCGCAAGTTCAGAGGTACACTTAGCATCGACCACAAGAAGGCTCTTCTTGACATCCATGTAAGTCTGGACATCAGTTCGACTCGCACACGGCGCTAATTCTATCAGGTTCAACCGGATATCATGGAGCGAAGCGGAGACGGCAGACAGACAAAGACCCTCTCGGGAGGTGAGAAGTCGTACTCTACCGTGTGTCTTCTCCTCTCCCTGTGGGATGCAATGGGCTCACCTATCCGCTGCCTCGACGAATTCGACGTGTTCATGGACAGCGTCAACCGCGAAAGGAGTATGCATATGATCATCCAGGCTGCTCGACGCTCGATTGGGCGACAGTTCATCTTCATCACTCCACAGTCGATGAGTAATGTCACGCAAACGTCCGATGTCAAGATCATCAAGATGACAGACCCAGAGCGCGGACAGACAGCATTGAATGTGCAGCGGAGTTGAAATACCCCTGGAATATGGCGTTAATGTGTTGGTATTTGTCGGTGTTGTTGTTGTCGTGTGGGCCAATGGTCACGGAGTTTGAGTATGGATATACCCGCTGGCGAAAGAAATGTGAGACGTCTCGTAGCCATATGCATATAGTACCATGGTCACTTTTCTAGCGTTCCTGCATACTGGCTGGATGCTAGTCTGTCAAAATGATCAAAAATTTAACTCGCGCTGTGTTCAAGAAGAGATCCCGTAATGTGGCCGTGACGTTTGCCGCGCAAAGCGTAGTCGCGAGTTGCGGCGTAAGCGGCCGCAGCGGGTTGTACAGGGAACGGAGTGGGTATGCAAAAGGTAAGGCGGATGTGCACCGGGATCCAGGGTCTCTTGGCCAACCACGTCGATGGACGGGTCTGATACAACTCTCCCACCTCTCGACTTGCTGGCAAACCTTGGGCCCATGTGAGAAGCAGATTTCCGTGCTGTCTCTGCACCTGGCTTCCTACCCTCCTCCGGGAGCCTATATGCCCCCCACCGACTCGCCGTCGACGCACCATCATGGCCGACTCCCCACTCTCAACACCCGGCACTCCAACCACTGCGTCGCCGCAACCTTCCGACAGAAACGCCGCCCGCTCCTTCTCGCCCGCGCAGGACGACGCGCAGACGGGCGACATGCAGGGACACGCCGAGGGTGCGCGGACGAGTGCCCCGGCGCCGAGTGTGGTGAATGCGACGGGATCAGCTGAGCAGGCCATGGAACCCAAAGGGAAAGAGAAGGCGACCAAGGGGCCGCTGAAGCTGCTGGATCTGCCCATGGACATCCTCAAAGAAATTATACACCAGGTGAGTAGGGACGCCTTATGCGCTGCACCCTGTCATGCGGCACGGCCATGGCTCGATGCTGACGTGCACCTCAACAGCTCCCACACACCAACGACCTCACCTCGCTGTGCCTCTGTCACTCGGCCCTCCATCGACTCACGATTCCATGCATATACTCGCGTTTCGACATTGTGTGGCCCGACGAGAGCACCCACAACGAGCCTCGCGCTGGCGTCGATGCTCTCACCTATGGCCTCGCGACGCTGGTCATGGGCGACGACTGCTTCCCCCACCAGAACCGGCTGAGGCTGCAGGGACAGACGCCGACCGCACTGCTGAGGACTGCCGCCAACCCATACCCTGTTCCGCAGCGGCGCTTTGGCAACTACTACGGACAGTTTACCAAGAAGTTCTCTCTTGGCAATGGACCGCAGGCATGGGTTCAGGAATACATGATCACCAAGGAAGGCGGAAAGATGCTGGGGACCTTGGTGGCGCTTGCGATTGCGCGCATGATCAATCTGGAGACGTTCGTGTGGGATATGCCTACGGGTGTGCTTCGCGATGTCTGGCTTGCGCTGTCGAGTCTCGCCCACCGGAGTGACGGTGAGGAATGCCGTCTGGACCGCCTCTGGATACGATGGCACGACAACACAATCGACGCGCCGATCCCGCCGCCCGCACCACCCATGATACTCAACAATCAAAACCTCCCTCCACCCCCGAACGCTACACATCCGAGTGGACTTGGCACCGTCCAAGCCCCCGTTGTTGTGGTACCCCCGTACGCACCGAGTAGCATGTCTGCGCTAGATCGAGTCGAACACCCTACCTTTTCTGCCATACCTGCGCTCAAGAGTTTGAGTGTCTTGGACATCGACGAGTTGCCTTACCTCGACGAGATGAGCATTTTGATCGCAAGATCCCAGAAGAAACTACGCGAACTACGGATCGGTATCGCAGCCCATGCACAGCAGCGGGACTGGGTGACCGTCTGGGAGGGTGAAGGTCTTCAACAAGTCGACTACAACGCTACATCGACCGCTGCGTGTTCAATAGGAGAGAAACGGCTAGGAGGTGTTCTCGGCATCCTCGTCGGCCGCATACACAACATGCGCCATTCGGAAGAACCTCCAACCCAAAAGTCCAGCGCTACCGGCGTCACAGAGCGATCAGTAGAAGCAACGCCAGCCAAATCGGCAGCCTCCTTGCCCCTGCCCTCCATAGCCTCGCTCTCACTACAAGAACGCGACCCGGACCAGGATGTGGATCATTTCGGTAATCCGATGGAAGATAACTCCATAACAGAGGGCGTTAGTCTGTTCAATGACAATCAGCCGTTTGGTTCTGGACAGACTGCGCAGGCTCCTGGTACGGAAAGAGTCACTGCAAAGACACCTCCATCTCGTGACGAGACTCCTGGCTCAGAAGATGAGCCGCGGCTGACTGGCAAACTGAAACTTGAAGTACTGGAGCTCGAACGCGTTCCTCTCTCCGTCCCAGTGCTTCGCAGAGCCTTCGATTGGTCGATCCTATCGACGTTGACTCTTCTTCACTGCAGCAATCACGAACAACTGTGGAAAATACTACGGAGAACATACACCCCTCGCCCCCCCTACCCTGGCTCACCGTCTTCATCCAAGGCGTACAAGGCCTCCTACACCCTTCGATCAGAATACCAGCTCAACCTCAAGCGAATACACACTAATACAGTGTCTCCTTCGCTGATCACCTTTCTCAAAGAGACACTGGCGCCGAATAGTCTTGAAGTGCTCTTTCTCCAAGAAGGCCGCTCTTACTCGTCTACGGTAACAGTAGATGCGATCTACAAGGGGCCATTGCGGAGACATCGAGGAAGTTTGAAGAAACTAATGATAGACAGTGGAGAGAAGAGCCCAGACGGACACACGACCAATAGTTCAAGGTGGAGACGGTGGATGCTGAACCGCGAGATCCTGACATACATAACAAGCGGCCGTATGAACAGCTTGCGGGAACTCGCAGTGTCCATCGACTACAAAGACTGGGTATGTTGCGCCTCATTACAATTTCACGAAATGCGACTGACGTCTGTACAGCACCACTTCCTCCAACGTCTCCCGTATATCCCTCATATTCGCTCCCTGTATATCCCTTATATCGCCGATCACGCCCATGGCAGTAATATCGATCCACGCGAACTCGCATACCAGATACTCGACATTGTGCACTTGCGACCGGAGATAGAGCTCTGCTACATGGGTCTATCTACCAAGTGCTTTGAGATTCTGGAAAATCGACCATCAAATTATGACCTACGACACGATGGCATGCATGCCGATGGCAGTGGATCTGCATACGCTACACATGATCCGATGTTATCCGACGACGAGAGCGAAGCTACGGAAGACGAAGACGACGATGACATGGACGATGGCGCTATGCCGCCCGGCGGTGATGAGACAGAGAGCGAAGCAAGTGACGATGTCGACGTTGAGAGCGACGATGAATCGTTTGTGCAGGACTCGCAAAAAGGTCCAAAGTTACGTGTTCGAGAGATACTTTTCTACGAGGAACGAGTTGAGGCGTTTAGGAGGCGGCACGGCGTGCTGAGGCCTTGATGTAATGTGACTGATACGACGGGCATGGTGTTCTATAGTATTACTGCAGCATTTTCTGTACGCATGGAATGGAGCTTGGAATGGGACGGTGCAGGAGGCGTACATGGTAGATATCCTTGATACTTTTTCCATCAGGTATGTAGTCTCGAGACCTAAGCTCTCGTATTTGCACAATGTCGAATCATGACTCGATGTATTCGCAGGCAATATAGTACTAGAAATTGAGAAACATCATCATTTGACCAAGATGTGCGCACAACGGTGAAGGTCAGATGCTTTTCGTCATGCTTTGACATGGCGGTTACCCCACGTGAATACGCGTTGGAGCTGGCCCGAGCTTGATGAGCGGTGGTCGCGACCGCTGCTGCGCGAACAAACAGACAACAATCCCCAAGACCCGACGATGAGCAGACTTGTAGCAGCAACATACCCGTCGTTAGATGGTACATCGATTGCACGTCCATGAAGTCTCTCATATCACCACGTACACAAACACGAGCCCAAACAGTCGCATAGTGGGGCCTCCGTCGCACCTCCGTCCGCCATGGACCATTCCACCCTGGTCTTCGCGTCCGTCTTTCCAGTCCTCTCCTTCTCGCACAGCACACCGACGCCGATTGCGACACCAGATTTGGGGCATACAGCGCCTGGGACCTCGTTCGGTAGCCCGTACGCTCTGAGGAACGCCGAGAGCCGAACACCAGCGCAAGCACATGGGCAGGGACAGCACAGGGCAGTCAAGCGCAACATAGCATGGAGTTGCGCGACGCGATTCTTGAGTTTGCCAAAAGATGTCAACTTTGCGCCTAGAACACAGAAGAACAGGGAGGTTGAGGAAGCCCTGGGCTTTCTCTTGAACGGAGAAGGCAAGAGCGACGATGAGAAGGAGGAGACTCTGGTCGAATGGTACACGAACGAGTGCAGGTTGCACTTTGCGAACCATATCCGACCTGGCCTAGAAGAGTTGTGGGAGGATGAAGTTGAGCTCAAGCGAGCCTGGGAGATCCTCGACGAAACGCAGCGTGTCCTCGAGCAGGTGCAGAACGTGTACCTCCAGCCCTTCACCGACCACTTGTTGCCTTCATTACAGCAGAACGCCAGTAATGCGACCCTTCGACCGAGCAGACCTACACAGATCGCCGACTCAGATACTGCGAGTGCAGCAGATTGGAAGTTTCGCCGGGACATACAGGCTGTCTTTGCGCATTGTCTGCCGCTGCAGCGGTATGGGAAGACGTTGAGCTATGTCTTGTACGACGCTGGATGTCGCTTGTTCCGCATATATACCCGACACGATGGCATGCAGCCGAGTGCTTCACCCGAGAAGACACAGGAGTGCAGAAAGCGAATGATCACCTTGCTACAAAGCCTAGAGCGCGTTGGACTCGGTGGCGATAGTGCGCAGGAGGCCTTCGCACATGCCATGAACAAGCTGCTCGACTCTTTCATCACAAGCCACTACTTGAAGGTAGACTGGTATTCCAAGAAGTCAGTTGTGCCGCAGTTAAGACTGTGGATTCAGGATGGCTTCTGTCCGCTCGTCGAATTGGTACTAGAATGTCTGCGGTGCGAGCAGAGTAGCATTCTGCC